AAGAACAATCTTAGTCACTTTTTCAATGAACCCCAGTTAACGATGCCATCTGGTAGCATATTGTACAAGCTTTCTGATGAACAGTCAATTTCAGGTAAAAACGATCTGAGTCACATCGAACCAAGGCCCTTCTGAAATGGCCTCCCAAACAAATACAAGTCCATCGTATTTATTTGACCTTAATTTGGTTGAAAAGTGGAAGTCAGTTGTTGTACTGGTAATTATGATTCATATTAAACATCATTTTGAAGCTGTAATTAAACCCACTCATTGTTGTTAATTCTGTTCTCGTCAAGCATTCTTGTCCAAAAGTCTATTTTGCCTTTTATGCGAAAAGACAAAAATGTGACTTACATTGTTCTTCCCCTGAACTCATCATTTGAATAAGACTCACATTATTACATCTTTCTTCTTTGTAAATCATTGTTTTGTTGTTCATTTTGAGTGAAGCCTGCAATAAAATTCACAGGCCCTGGACTGTACAGACCAGATCCATTCAATTGATTTGATATTTTTTGTTAATAGCTTGCAATGTCTGTGTAGTTTTTGTCTTGTCCACAGGGAGCCACGGTGTAAGACGCTGACTCGCTAGCCTGGAGGTCGGGTATTCGATCCCTGCATTGGCCAAGAAAGTTCATCTTGATTTTCTGACATGGTTTCCCTTTGTCAGTGGTGCATGACGGAGGGCCTGACAAGGACAGCCGTCTAGTCGTTTGGATTTTACGAAAAACCAAGATCCTGTGTATACATTAGCGTTTACGTAAAAGATCCCTTGGCAGTTGGAATTCGATATAAGAGTAGGCCAGAGTGCCGCTGCCTGGGCAAACTGTCCCTCATAGTACACTGTATGACGTATGCCCGTTTTCATTAGCCCAGTCGGAGCAGAACAGTAGGTAGGATGTTAAACCCCATTTCATTTTGTCTTGACACTTATTACTATTAGAATATTCATATCATAAAATCACCATTCATTGTGGCCACTGTTATAAAATAGCCTTAAAAAAAAAACAGCTACGGAACTACGTCCGGAAGGCATGAAGAATAAAGATGTAAATGTTAAGGCAAGAAAGTGGTTACAGTCAAAGCTACTAATTACACAGGTCATCATGTTTCTCAATGTCTTTTTTCATAAATGTCTCTCAATATTCACAAACAGAATATAATGATCACCTTGCGGGAGTATTGGCTGAATTCTCGGCAATATCACGATAGACCATTAGTAATGATAAGCCCAAATACTAGACACTAGATGCTAATGACGCATTATTTTGACGCTACTGTCTGTGCTCGATGCTTAGGGCTTTTACAAACATTATATACCAACATAAATAACTTTAACTGGATTGAAGTCTGAGATGGGGAATTAGTGAAAACAAGAAGTGGGCCATAGCCAGAAAGAATACAGTTCTAAAGTCAAGGAGAAGTTGAATAAATATATGTATTTGAAAAATAGGGCCCAAGGAATCGGCTAAGAGGAGTTTTGAAAGGGGGTTCATGCCTTGGTTTCTGGTAGTGGTTCAAACAAGTCAATATAACTTTTCTATCTGCACCTGAATTCAATTCTGTAAATATGTTTATCTTTCCTCTTGACATATAATACAACTTCTCACAAATACAGCACCAACAGAAAAATATTACCCATTGAAACAATTACCATAAAACATCAATCCGGCAGAAAGAAATGCTGTTTTCTGTTGAAAAAACAAAGAACACTGATGTCATGGCTCTGCTCTCTTATGCTAGGTTGTGATGCGTTGTGATAGGATTGTCCCTATTGAGTCCCCGATCTGGTATGTACAGATACATGTACGTTTGGATATGTTTCGATAAGATCAACATGATTGCTAAGAATGACCTCAATATTTGATAAGACCTGATAGGATAACCAAGATTAAAACCACGATTGAATCGTAATAGTGGGAAGCTAGCATTACTGACTTACGTCAAGGTGTGGGTGAAATAGATTTCATTATTCTCAATGCTGTTTCAGTTGAAAATCAGAGCAAAGGACACTTACATCTTATGACACTGCTCTGTTAATGACTGGTGTGAAGGTGTAGGTCATATAGATTTTATCACTCTCAATCTTTGTTGATCAGAGCCTGCGCTACCAGCAGATTTAATTCAGATCTTACAATGTAATGCTTGTTTCTTATACACCTTCTTCACTCAGGTTTAAATAATAAAAGCAGTAGCCAAGAAAATATTGTTACTAAAGGCAAGTGACCTTGTCTTGAAAAACAAAATCTCTTAGACGGATAAAAAATGAAATTGAAGAAGCGAAATTGCAACCACCAAGCTTGTAATAATGAAAAGATTAAACTTTTGTTCCTTATATAACTTGGTCAACCATACACTCTGGTCATGAATTAGTGTCGCTTCTGTAGGAATTATAAGAAAAAAGCAAGAGAATTTAAAAAGAAAAAAGAATATAAAAAGTTTGAGATCACTCAGTAATTGGACACAAAAAATACTTGATCTGTTTTCAAGGAGAAAAAAAAGTTGATATGTTTTTAATCAAGCAATTACTCCGAGATCAAGACATGCTATTTTGAAAGAATGTGTCGACAACATTGACGTTTTCTCGTTGCATTATGATTTCAACGACGTTATTTGTTGGCGTAATAATGTTTATTATTACATCACGGCAGAAGTCACTGCGAGTCATGGCCCTCTTATTTCCCTTGTCCAATTATATCAGTAACGCTGCACTTAGGAGTATTATTGAAAACGTGATTGGTGAACAGAAATTCAACGAGGAGTCGTTTCGACATTATTGATAAACGTTTAACTCTTCATGATTTGGTGATCAGCTTGCAAATGGAATGACTACAGAATACAGACTGTCATGTTTATTGTACATTTGATACAATAGTTTAAGACCTGTCTGTTTTCCAGACTTGATTCGTTGTATTTAAGATGCCTTACCAAGTATCGTATATATCTATATAATAATACATATTCTTATTGTGAAGTATGGCTGTACGATGGGAATGTTTAATGGGCTTGAAGATATACTTACTTTGTCTAAATTGTGAGTCTCGAGCAGTCGTTCATACTTTAATAATCATTAATTACGTTGTATAGAGGGACACATCATGATTTAAGGCTAATAAATTACTTTCTTATTAAAATCTTGATCTGCGTCAAAGTCGTAGGATTCTGATGTAGATAAAAGCACCCATTTAATGGGATTCTTCTTACTTGAAAGAAAACAAAGACCATAATTTCCGTATGTAATTAATAGAAGGGTGTTTTGAAGTTGTAACCTATTTTGATAATTACAGACAGTCTGAATATGATTAAGAATTTAAAGTTTAAAATCTTTGATGGTGTGTGACATTTTAATAAATTGGTCTGTTTGACTGAATTAAAAAATTATCTTTTATACATCTACAGTAGTCACCTTTCATCATGAGTTTATGTATATAAATGTATATTAACATCCTTATTTCTCTGCAAGATGAGGCCAGCGTCATCATTAACCTGGTTGGTGCCAAAATTCTAGATATTAACCCTATTTAATTTTGTGGGGTTGGATGGTCGAATTGTTAGAATTGTATGTCATTGAGTCAACTGGCATGGTTTTGATTCCCCGGTTGTACAAATCCAACCTTGTGGATTTTCTGCAGGTCCACCGGTTTCCTCCTACTGTTACAGATCCCTACACGCTAGCAATTCTTGAAATGAAAATTGAATATGTTATTCCCAAAATGACCTAGTTGTGTCAAGTGGAGGTTAAACCCCATCTCTCTCTCTCTCTCTCTCTCCCTCCCACCCTATTTCATTTAATTTCTCCATAAGAATTGCGGTTTGTATTTTCTGTGCTTCATTGGCCCATCATGCAGTCAGAACAGAACAGTAAGAAGTTAAATAAATATTATACAATGGTATCCCAATGGATTCTACAGTCATTAATAAGAGAAACGATTATGATCGTTCTTGAGACTATGCTTTCACAGTGCTGTCACCCTCAATTACCCAATAGGTTCACATAACTGCGTGCATTCACACTAAATAAATTACCATTTGTTATATTTAGTAGACAAAATGGATTAAGTCCATTTGGTGGCTATATTATTAAAACACTAAATTTAAACTATGTGTAGGCCTACCGTTCTTCCAAAATGACAGACGGATATGCAATATCAGTTCTTATGTTATAACAAAGAGTGGTTTTGAATCCCCGGTTGTACGTGACAAGGAGTAGGGTCGCCTGTCCAACCTTGTGGGTTTTCTCCGGGTCCTCCGGTTTCCTCCCACTGCTAAAGACCCCTACGCGCAAGCGAATTATTGAAATAAAAAAATAAACCGTATGTTAGTCCCGAAATGACCTAGTTTGTGTCGACTGGACGTTAAACCCCATTTCTCTCTCTCTATATAACAAAGAGTTTGTTTTGAAAATACCAAAGAAAAAATGATGAAACCAGGTCAATAATTTTTGAACAATTTGTATTTTTTTTTGTTACAAAATAAGATACATGTGGGTATAAGGATCCAATATAAAACTAGTTCTGGGCTCATCATTGAAGTTTGTATTGCTGTAGCAAGCAAAGAACAGTTGGCATCAGCCAGAAACTTTGAAGTAGTTACTCTCTGACCAGGGAAGTAAAAACAAAAGCACTGCAGAAGTTTTCTTATCCTGTAGGGTCAGCCAGCATCATAGAGGGTCTAATGTCCACTCGCATTCCTTTTTCCTCTTTTCTGCTTGTGCACAGTTCGTTTGTGACCGGAATCCGCTGTTCATGACTGCAATTTGACAAAGCTTGCTGTAAACAACAGGGTTGTTTTAGACAAAGTCAAGCTTGTTTCCTGCGAAACAGTGTCAGGGAAGGAAAGTAGACATGTCGCTGCTGAATTTGAAAGAAATAAGGCAATTAGGTTTTCTGGCAGGCGACTAGTATTTCATTGATACTCGTCCTGTTGAGCCAGGTGCTGTATAACTAGATGTTACATGTACAATAAACCCTCATTTAAAATATTTTCATTTGTATTTTCAGATTTATTCGAAGGAACCAGAACGACAACACTTCGTAAGCTGGCAAACCTTGGTGGAGCTCAAACACTGGACTGTCAGCTCAAGTACCCTCGGAACAACCCCATTCCATATATTATACAGTGGAAGAAAGATGGCTTAGCACAACCAATATTTATAAAATACGATGGCTACCCTGCCCAAATACCACATCATCAGTATCGTAATCGTTTAGCTTTAAAAGATGAGGTATCTTTAGAGATATCTCAGATACAAGCTAATGATGAAGGGTGGTATGAGTGTAACACCATATTTATTGATGGAGCTGAAGAAACAACAGTTAATGGATCATGGATTTATCTCACTGTTCACTGTAAGTACTGGGTATGTTTTTTGACTCACAAACACTTGTATCCCTTAAACACACCATACAATCCATATTTGGTCCCAATACATGTACCACTGTATAAATGAAATGAGGTTAAACAACCTTCTGTTCTGCTCCGAACATGGCTAATAAAGACATGCATACACCATACAGTGTGCTATGAGGGAAATTTTGCCCGGACAGCGGCGCTACAGCCTACTCTTACATCGACTTCCAATTGCCAAGTGATCTTTTACGTGCATGCCAATATGTACACAGGACCTTGGTTTTCCGTCCCATCTGATGGACTAGACAGCTGTCCTTGTTAGGCCCTCTGTCCTGCATCACAGATAAGGGGGAACCACGCCTGAAAATCTGGATGAACTTTCTCAGCCAATGCAGGGATTGAACACCCGACCTCCAGGCTAGTGAGCACCACTGTATAAAGGTTATAGTGTTGCACTTCTGTTAAAGCTCAGATTGTCATTTGAGGAATTTGTGAAAGTTGAATCTCTGAAAGGAATGTAACTTGAAAGATATCGATTCTGCTCAGTATTTACAAATAAATTGACAATGTGCAACATTTGGCCTCCTATTCATACATAAAAACAAGCCCAAGCAACCTACAAATGGTGGGTAAAATCTTTTGAAAGACTACTGTTGAATTTTGGTTTGCTTTCTTAATTAAATGTCAAATATTCAATTAGAAAGCTGTGGAAAATTAAGGAATTGTCCAAAAAATGTAACAGTCCATGGCTCTAAGAAGGATATGCATTCTTGTCAACATAAAGTACATTTATTTGGTGGGGAGGTGGTTATCTGATCATGTACATGTACATCCAGATCCTCATTGGGGCCTGTGATCCTCAAAATATTAAATCTAGACCCACATGTATGTGTAGCTTTATTTTACACAACCTATTCAATATGCACCTCTGAAAATCCTTAAATTTACTGAACAATCACATCACAATGCAGTCCAAGCCTGATGCTTCCAGGTGGTACATCATGTTTTAATAAGAACTTGAAGTGACAAGTGATATACTTGACAGTGGATAAAGTGGCAATAAGCTTATTCCAGTTAGAATAATTTACTGTCATTAATCACGCTAACTGTTAAATATGATTATTGATTAAAAATTGGAGCAGCATAAACACTGTTTAATAAACCACACTCAAATAATGTCCTTTCCTAATTAAATATAAACAAACATGATTTTCATTGCTAACTCATTTAAAAAGTTGGATATTATCAAATGATTATTTGAGATAATGTAGGTTGTTTTCCGCAGGAGGCTATAAATTGCAAAATTATGTTATTCTTTAACATCTTTCAAAGATACGACATGATTTGAGTTATTCAGATTGATGATAACAATATTACTACTTCATTTAGATTGTGATACAGTATTCAAAATGTATTGCATTCTGATATTAAATCAAAATTCAATTAAATTCAGTGAGACTTATAATGAATCAGTTAGTCGCATGATCAAAAATAGAAGTACTTCTGTAGGGTTATACAGACAGTTCAAGAATCGTAGTTAAGTACATTTTAGTACAGTGTAGCAAGTTCCATCGTCACAGTTCTTCCTTTTTCAAATCAAAAAGTTTGGTTAAAGGGTAATACAAATGTGATTGTCACTATTGTTAGCTTATAAAATCTGGGGCCTGTTTCACGAAATCTTAACTAAAGATAAAATCAAAATTTTAGTAGATACTTCAATTTTGATTGGCTAAACACTAAAATCAACCTAATATTATCCAATCAAATTACTAAAATTTGGATTTTATCTTAGTTAAAATTTCATGAAACAGGCCCCTGGATTTGAAATTGGGTTCAGTGCTTTACATTTTTGCACCAACTGTACGTACTAACTATGACAGGTATATGTCATCCTACATTGTACATGCTGTGAGTGACAATGTACCTGCACAGTGGCAAATTGGGGATTGAACATTAATGACATTGCTTGTAAAAGACAAACTCTGATAATGCGTTTCTGTGAGTTCACACGAATTGCGGATGTTATTAAATTTAAGAGTTGCAAAGTCACATGTGTTTCAATGTTTTCTTCCTCAATCTGTAAATCTAAAGGGAATAGTAAAAGCTTTTATTGTGGACATAAAACAATATTGCACGTTTTACTGGTGCATCAACACACCTGCTGCCATTAAAAGTAAGCTTCAGAAGAAAAAAAACAACCTATGTCGATCTTCAGAAAGTTCTACATTAGGATCTTGTCGATTGAAAATCTCCCATTCACCCCCCTAAAAAATTGCTGGAGTTAAAAGATTTCGTAACTTATACTGTGCATTTACTTAGAACTTAATATTTTTTTCTCTGTATTTTATTGCAAGATCTGTTTTTACAATGAGACTAAAATCTTAAATCTTTGTAATAATGTTTTTAAAAAGCAAAAAAAAAAAAAATCACCAACATTCCATGCAAAGATTGACAAAAACAATAATAGAACCATTGTCTTATTAAAATAGTGAACCTGTCACCAGTTCTGTAGAACAGTTTGTAAGTAAAGGAAGTTACACATGCATGCCGCAATAATGGAGCTTGAAAAAATTTTGTCAAGAAAAACACCCAACAGACTCACAACGTTGCAATTTTATTGTTTTACTTGTAGTATTATTTAGTGACAAAGATTGTTCTGATGTGATTTCTCTTGTAATGTTGGTCGATGAATAAATCAGAGGTTATTTTCCAGGTTTGTGCACATCTTAGGTCAAAATGTCCATTATTTGAAAAGCGTAATCCAGGTTTTCATTATCGTTCCACAAGACAGCCCCCTAGAATGATGGAAACCAAGTCGGCTGCATTTTCAACAAATAAATTTCTTTATGCATCTGTCAGGCTATTCCTTCCTTTGCTACATCTGGCTGTAGGCAACGTTATCCTACAAAGCCTCCAGGGGATTGCCCATCGACCAACTTAAATTGACATTCTATTTTTCCAATAGAAAATTAAATCGACACGCGTTGTCGAGTAATACGCAGGATTTTCTATAAACACTCGCCTTCGCCTTTCATTTGTTTCAAGCTACACAACTGTCTATTGTAGATCAGGGAAGGGTTTTAGTCAATTCCTGCTCAGTACAAACAGATTTACTCTAAATGATAGTAATTTGATTGACTTTCAACATTTGACATGAACCTTTTTGTACTTTTATTTTGTTATTGGGGACAGTTATAAGCCAACAACTGTGAAATCCTTTCTCTTTGTGTTGTATATTTAATATGTTTTACATCTTATACCAACTGATTACCAAATATTTTAGATTATTTAATACTTCTATTTATGTTTATGAGATTTAAAAAAAAAGTTGCTTACTCCGTTTGACCAGAATGCATTTGCCAAAAATGACTGAATAACCATTTTCACATTGAGAATAAATATTCAGGTTAAAATACTATATTATAAGATATTATATTATAAGATATTTTATATTCAACAATGTCGGCAGAAACAAGATTATCATTGGGCGTCAGATTGCAGAGGTTTTATGAAATGACTTTCTCACATTAGCATTGTTCGACTGTTTACGTCATTGAGATAAATCTCGTCACCAACATACATGTACATGTAGCTGTAGAGGAAGGTGTCACAATTTACCAAATCTTATTTAAAATGTATGTGAACATACAGCCTTGTAGTAAGGTGCTAGCTCACGAAACAGGAGGTCCATGTGATCAGTCAGTGTGGTACAGGACAGATGGCCCAGCCAGGAAAAAGCAGCTACTCCTGATGCTACGAAAAAAAAGAGATCCACATGTGTGCTTACTCGTTGGGGTGGAAATAAAAAAAAATTTTGACTGCTGGAATTTGTTGTAGATTGGTAAATGCTGCTAAGCAGACAATATTTCCCTTATGGCTGCAGTTGGTGTTGAAAAGTAGAACCTTAAACCCAATTTCATTTTCATTTGACCAGATGCATATCTGTGAGGCATACATCTGTAATTGACAGTCAGTCTGTGTTAAGACTGTAGTTATGTATAGACATGTACATGTATCGACAAGTCATTCTGTTCAAAAAGACATTTCCAGGATGCTGATGATTCAGTTGTAAAATTAAATCATCAGATAGAATTTCTTGAGGGTATTGGTGGTGTTATCGTCGGCTCAAAATGAACACATATTATTTCTAACTGGTATCATACTGTCCTTTTATAAGCTTAAGTGATACTTGGAATGCGACAGAGTAGAACCTGGCTTAATACGTATTATCCAGTCTGTTGACTTGATTAACCAGTTATTATACAAAGCAGACTCTCTGGAACTAATAGAGCCCAACAACAAATGTTCAATTTTAACCTGATTGGTAGAATTAAGTAATAAAGTCTGGCCTGCAAGCCAATGACTAGCTCGAAGTTGTGTAGTTTTTGTGATTCTGTGGTTTTTTTTAGTGATTTCTCATTTGGCTTTGGTAGTATTTTGCATGAATGAACAATTTGGATGTCTGATTACGTTGGACAACCAGTCTCACCGGACTGTAAAAAGTTAATACATCTTGTTATGTGTAAATTTGTTCTGGCTCCCTCATGACGTTATTGGTTCAATGACAATTCTTCTGTCTCAATGTCTGTTTGTCTCAATTTTTACCTACACGTGGTAATGATTGGAATATATAATTTCAAATACTGTGTTGTTATTGCTGGTATTCAGTAACATCTGTTAATGCCTCAAGGAAATTGCAAATTTATATTGAATTTGTGATGCATTTGTGGGCAGAAAAGGAAAAAGATCCTTGAATTAATTGAAAGGAAGTAATCCTCAAGCAACAAACTTGTTAAGACCGGTTGTTACTGAAATGAAATGGGGTTGATCATCCCACTGTTCAGTACCAACTGGTCTAATGATGAAGGAAGACAGGTTGATAAAGGACAGTTGTAGGATACAATCCTGGATTAAAACCACTCGAGTTGAGCATTACTACCTTTGAATATTAGTTGATGAACAAGTGTAACCTTGAATTATGTATCATAAGGTCTGACAT